GGGCGAGCGGAACAACTCGGAACAACCATGGACAATGATGAAATCCGTTTACATTGAAAGGTAGTCAAATGAAATGTGCAATAGTGTTCAGCCCCCACTCCCAGTCCCTTTGAAATGTGCGTTTTTTTTTTGTTTTGTTTTCCACTTTCCTGGGCGGTATCGGCACGATTGTAAAGGTCACAATATCATCAGCACGGAGGACGTATGCCCGAATCTCACCACCGCCGACTGACTTTCCCCATTGTGTTGCATGACCTTCGATTAGCCGCTTTCGCCCCACCCCCACCCCGAAAACTCTATCGTTGTAAACTCAATAAGAGTAAAAATGAAACAAGCTCCTTGATGTTGGTTATTGTAAATGGTTGCAACAGATCACTGATCAGTGAGCATAGTGAAGTAGTTGCTAGGTAAATGTTGTCACCTTTTTAAGAGCATCCTCGATAATACAGAATTATTTTTAAGTAGGAGAATGGCGCTGCGTACTAGAAGACGACGGTGAAGAGTGAGAGAAATCGTGCGCGCAATCGTCGTCCACGGAGTCGATGAATGACTACAATCTGTGGACCGGCCGAACTCAAACTGACCGATATGGATTTCCGGTAAAAGAGAATGATCGGAAAAATAGACTATCGGCTTGTCTGGAATAATCCTGCTGCTTGAAAAAGTTACCTGTATTGGGTCCAAATCCAATGTGCTTGTTTGTTTTACGTCAGCGATTGAGAAGATTAAACGAAATGTTAATATCTCGCAGCAGATGTCTTCTTGCAGTCTTGATACAATACAGGCAAAGTCGAAATGCTTGATCTTGTCGTGTGCCAAGATGAAAATCAGTCACTTCCTCGAGGTTTCATATCAGAGTAAGCGACTGAGACAGCGAAAAATTGGTTTATATCCACCCAATCTACGTTTGACCTGACCAGTGTGCCGATTACACAGACTTAATGCTTTTTGAGTTTTCTACAAAACTCAATCAATCAACCAATAGCTCTACTGTTTCATTACAATGTGATCCTTAAATGTGTTTCGGTTTTAAATAAAAAACAACAATAGCTTACAATGTATTTCTTATTCTAAACAAGAGAGTACCGATAAAAACATAGGGCACATAGTACATTGGAGTATGCGCTTATGATAAGAATAAGCCATGCTGACGATTTTATTGATTCGTGCATGAAATACAACACAACAGCTAATCGATCAACCAATCAATCAATATGCATCGTCAAATAAACTGTTCAAATCCAAATACGAACAGGAGAGAGAGAAAGAGCAATATTTGTTCTAAATATCGTAAATGAATCTCGAAGCATTGGTCAAGTTTTATCACAGGTGGTGCCGTTAATTCTTTTAAGAACGCCCTTGTGCTGTTTATCATAATACCATAATAATAATAATAATAATAATAATAATAATAATAATAATAATAATACAGCAAAGAGACACCATCATTTGCCACCCATGTGTCTACAGAACGTCGTATTCAAAACGCCATTTTGACTGATGACGAAGCACCTACTTTGATTGCATTAGAAAAATGGTGAAATGCGCAACACATGTTCGAACCAACGCAGACTATGGAGGTAGACCGATCGCTCCACCGGGTGGTCGCGATTACCTAACCAAACCTCAGCATTGCTTGTTTGGTTTCTCCACCAGACTCGTGCAATGCTGCATAGACAGTGGTGTTCAAACAATGACATTGTCTATCGTTATCCTGATCTCGTAATGACCAAGTTTCTGCACCGTATAGCACAAGTGGCAGCATACACTCGACCGTCCACGGACAGCCGGCGACGGTGCCGTAAATGTTTCAAGTTGGCAAATGACAATCGAGCCTTTTGTTTACGTGATGCGTCCGCCAGGTAAGATGTAGCTGCCCAGATAGCAAAATCTGTCTACTTGCTCTATCACTTCTCCAGTTAGAGTGATGTTGACAGCTGGACCGATCCAGTCCTCTGACAACAGCATTTTGTTCTTTGAAGGTGCAAAACACACACCGGACATAAATACACTAGCACTTAAACTATCCAAAAACGCTTGCAGCTTATCTGGGTCTTCACTTAGCTGTACAATGTCGTCTGCATACTCCTTATCAGAGTTTGACACCTGGAAGCACATTTAAACCGCCATCCTTGCATGAGGACATGGCTATAGCCAGAATTAAATCTACAATGAAGTTAAACAGAAGAGGAGAGAAAGGGAAACCCTGACGAACACCGCTTTCCACGATGAATTTAGTCGAAAAAGTGCCGTAAGCTCGAGCTTGACTCCAGTCATGAGAGAATATTGATCCAAATAATTCCTTTGTAGTTTTCACAACAGGATCTACAAATAGGTCAGATGATCGATTCACACGATTCAGTTGGAACCTATTTGCCATTCGATAATGAACTGAGGTGTTTTGTCAGCTTCCAGATTAATACTGAACCTCCTCCTTAAAACCCGATGGAGAGAGTCCGTTCGAGGGACAGAGGTCTGAACTCTTTTGGTGCGACTTAATTCACTAGTAACTTACATTGCAAATAGAGGACTGAAATCAACTGGGAGTATTTCCCGAGTCAAGATAGGGGTTAATAAATCTGATGCCTATGAAGTCCGAAGTTGAACTAAGTCCAGAAATGTTCTGCCTATCGATCAACACGGCGTTACTATATTTGAATCAGAGTGTGTCATCGGATTCCTTAACTAACTCAAACCTATTTTGCTGGAACCCGTAATCTAAACCAGAGGGAAAACAGTGCGACTTTCGCTGTATGGACCATCGCTCTTCTTTTTACGGTCCCTCAGTTCTTACGGTCATTCCTCAGGTGTTTTAGGGATTTACGCACTGAGTCGTATTTAGCATCCGGAGCAACGATTTCGCGAGCGTTCAGCAAGGACGAGGAGAGTCTGCTTTTATGTTTGACCGTGGGCCGTGAACGTCAAGTGTTCACAGAGTCGTTGGGCGGTTGAACTGAGTTGCTTTGGAGAGCTCCGCTTCGAGGAGCGATTTGCAACTATTGCTTGCGTTCATTGTGGTTATCGATCATCAACGGCATTGTTGCGGTTGTTTGCCAGTCGTAGGGAGAGAATCTGAGTTGTAACGGAGCATGATTCGTATCCAAGGTTGTTGACTGATGAGAGAGGCAGTCTTAAATGGATCCCCACTAATGGTAGTTGATGGCGATGTGGTCGATTAGGGTCCATTGTTGTGATGAGGTAGGGGGCTTATATGTACGGCAGTGTTGTTTCTTGTGCAAGACGTTGGTTCTTGATAGGAACAATCGGTCTGCGCAGAGTTGAAGTAGGCGAGCCCCGTGGTCCGTCCAGTTGGCTGAGATTGCGTGCGGGCCACCCCACTCTGATTCGTCCGGGAATACTACTTGAGTATTGAATTCTCCGACGACTGATACGAGGTCCGTTGACCGAGCACTTTAGAGCAGTTTAGAAATATCGTTGTAGAACTCATCCTTCACTTCAGATGCACTGCAATCGGTTGGTGCATACACGGACACTGAACAAGCATCGACGCTTCGCTCCATAGCTGTTGGAAGGTACTGAACAGTCGAGACGTACAGTGAACAGTCGGTTACTGATTGGAATCCAGCAAAGAAGCGAGCACTCAGCCTTGGCACTTAGCGCAGTCCGGAAACTAGCAACACCGCCAGCTAGTGAAAGTGGATTACGAAAAAGGCTATATTGAAACCATACTCGCACGGATTGCACGCACTTAACATGATATTCTCGTTTCAAAAGCGCGTGACTTGGTGTGTAGGATGAGCCAACGGTGGAACATAAAATAAATACTGTATTCCATTCCCTCTGAAAGCCACACTCAGTATGGTCTGGGGTGGATGTCTTGGGTTGTGACTGGTCACCTCTTCATTGCACCTCGTGAAATGCTCCTGGATAGTCAAGCGCCACAAATAGCCCTACTCACTGCCCCAACGTGGAGATCTTTGCCCACCATCAAAGTGAGAGGACAAAAAGCCAATATTTGGGGTTATGGCCGGGTCGGTGAACCACTGGCAGTTAACCGAGGGGAGTTGACCAAAAGCCCAGATTTTGAACTAACTAAAAGCAGGCGTACGAACCACAAACAATCACGCCTT